TGCAGTTGCAGAATTGTTTGTGTTGGTCATGACCTCAGTCACGTCCAACCTTCTGCTCCAAACAGCAACTCTGAGTACTTTGGTCTTCTCTGTGTCAGCTATCACCTGTCCAGTTTTCTCTCTGACTCTTTACTGCTCATGTAATAGTAGAAGGTTTTCATGTGGCACTGGAGTCCCACGCTGCTTTCAGCTTTAGTTGTGTTTTGACTTCCCTGCAGGCGTGCTGCATGCCTGGGCAATATTTGTGTATTCTTCCCTGATAGGCTCTTCTTGCTTCTTCCTCCTTAGGCCAAGCTGCTGATTAATCTGTTTATTTTGCTGGGTTTTGGGATATGCTTCTTGTGTGTGGTTAGTAATTGTCCTTAAATACGCCTCAGTTTTCTTGAGCTCTTTTGCTTTTTTGAACTGGATTCCACAGAATTCCAGCTACTGGGTAATGCAGTCTGCTCAAATGAAGTGCAGAGTCTGTGCTGGATTTCCCTTCCTCCTCTCAGGATTTTATTAGTCACTTTCATGGCCAAGTGGTCATGGTCAAGGGTGCTGTTGATCCCATCCCTGGCAGGTTCTTGGGTTTTTTCCTTGAAAGCAATCTCAAGAAAGTATCAAATGGGAATTGACTCATTTAGTGCTGTTTTCCTCTGAAATATTTCAGAAACCTCTTAGATTTTGTATCCTGCTGTGTTGCCCTTCTAGTAGATGTCACAGAGGTGAAGTAGTAACCAGTCTCTGTCATTTTTAGTAACTTGCTGGAACTGCTGAAATAGCTTTTTTCACGTTCTTATCCTGACCATGAGATCTGTAACAAACTTTGTGATGTTTCCTTTAACCCTGACCCACAAGCTCTTAGCCAGCCTGTTGTCTGTCCTGTAGAGCAGCTTTTTGTGCTCCAGCTACTCCTACAGGTAGAGGGCAGGTCACCTGCTGTGCTTCCCTTCCTGGCTTTGTTTAAAAGCTTGTGTCCACTGATGACACAGTGCCAGTCATGCAAGCTGTCCCCCACGCCTCACTGGTGTCAGCTCTGTGTACAGGTGCTGTGGGTGGCTTCCCTTTTAACATCATTTATCCTCACCAGGGTCTCTTCCTGGTATCTCTTCCTTCCACCAGCCTGACCCAGGTACTTCCCATGGCTCAGTCTCTATTCCCTCCCTATTGCCAAATTCAATTCCCATTCCCTGGCAGGTGTCTCATTTACAGGGCTCCTCACAAGCTCTGATGAGTTTGTTCATCTCCCACTTACTTCCTTGGCTGGATCCATTTCTAACTTAGCAGCCCTTGTTTCTCAGGGACACTTGTGGCCATAAAAGTTCAAGTGCTCCTTGCAGTGCCGTTCCTGTGGTGAGTTGTTCACTTGAAGGATGTGTCTCTACCAGCCTTTCCCCCACACAGGAAAAGAGCAAGGAGGACCTGAGATCTCATGTCCAGTTTTTTAGCCACACTTGATTTGCCCCATCCAGGTCTCTGTTAATAGCAGGTAATAATTAAGTGGGAAAGAAACAAAAAAGAAAAGAAAAAGGCACTATTGGTGATGATAATAAAGATCATAGGACCCTTGACGATTTCTGACATGTCAAATTGGCCAAGCCTCCTTTTCCAGCATATCTGGCAGCAGCTGTGTGTCTTCCCTGCAGAAGGGAATCTCCAACTAGTATTACCTGCCCCTCCCTTGTGTTGCTAATGCTCAGTCCAAGCCCAGCTAGCTCTGACATGTACCTTAATTGAGGTGCTTGCTGCTTCTGCATGCTGATGTTGACCCAAAAAAAAAAAAAAAAGTGGAAAAAAGGTTTGTGTTTGCAGCCTCACTGTAAGGAAAAGACCATGGAACACTGGTATAATGAAAAAGAGGTGTTGGGAGAGTGCAGTAAGAAAGGAATTGAGATTTATGGAAAAGCTCTGATAATTAGAAGGCTCAGACTGGTGTTTGAGTACCTCACACAGCAGCTACCGTGTGCTGGAAGCTTCATGTGCAGGAATGATTGTTGGGTGTAATGCTGAGGATTGTGTGCTTTAGCTTTCATTAGCATGTTTGCATGCAGTCAGTGTGCATGAAAATACTACTTGGTCTTCAAAAGTATCAAAAAATTAAACTTTAAAAATATTTTTCTGACAGTCTTCTATTTTGGGCAAGGCTCTTCAGGCTGTTGGGTTCTGCTTTTATTTCAAATGTGATTACTATGTTGATTTATATGTTTGGATCAGAGAAATGAGTGCTGTAGTAGAAACTGAAACATTTGCCATTTCTGGCTTTTAAAGCACTGGGACCAAGCTGCCAGGCAGTGATAGGTGGGACTGCTGGAGTCCAGTTTCCTAGGAGTGTGTCTCTGAAATGTATTACTTCCAGCTTTTAGCATAATTTTTCTTCCCAGTTGCCACTTTCTCAGTGTGTTGCCATGAAACTGTGTAATGTCCACTTTGAAATTACACTCACATAATGGCAATGGAGAGGCAAGAGATAGTTGAAGGATCTAATGCTTATTAGTTATGTTAGTACAAATCAGTACTTGGGGGACTTGTGGTTGTACTGGACTGTTATTTCTTCTTTTATATTTGTTTTGAAATTGTCAAAGAGATGAACAAGTAACAACCAAAGAGGGAGAGAAATAAAATATTGATCATAAAAGTCCCATTTGTTTAGAAAAGTAGTCAAAAAAAATCAGCACATGGATTGTTCACTTTTTTTTTGGGCCATGTTGTGTTTCAGCAGATATCAACTGAAAATCAGAGGGGTTGATACATTTTAGTAGTAGGGATGTGTCCTACTATCTTCAGAGTATGAATTCTGTTACCCACTGTCTGCTGTGAAAAGGCAGATACTCTTACATGATACTTGTAAGGCATGCTTTTACATGAATCATTGTCCCATTTGTGAAATTCTCAGCAGGCTCTCTTGTGGGGAGGGGAAAGCAAATGTGTGTGCTGTGATCCTTTGTTGTGGAGCTTCAGATGGCAAAGTGACTGTGACTGGAGATGCTGCCACAGAGCAGCAGCTCTGCTTCAGTGATTTACTTCAGAATGGAAGCTTTTAATTTCCCAGGTTACAGATTTGAGGCTTTTAAGGAAGCAAGTAACATCATAATGTATTTCATTATCAGTCACTTATACTGCACTTGAGTTCACATCCCTTTTCTTTAATATAGTCATGTTGAAGATGCAATTTGGAGATGGGCTTGAGAGTATTGTATTGCAGTTCCCTAATGAGGCCATGGGGGAAAGGGAAACAGAAGAGTGTGGAAAAATAGTTCAGGACTTTACATTAGTAATGTAAATGCTACTGGGTGTTATGGAAACATGAATGTACTTTAAATCTACCCATAAGCAGAGGTAGTACTAGTGTTGTCTTTGCTTATTCAGAGGTTTAGAATGGCTAGTTTGAAAACCTGAAAAGATCCTTTAGGAGGTGATAGGATTGTGACAAGTCAACTGGTATTCATGGAGATCACTGTTATTTAGGGAACAATATTAATTCAACCTAGTAGCAGAGAATTAATTGTTCAGATCTGTTTACTGTGGTCAAAAAAGAAGTAGTACAAATCTATTAGAGTTGTCTTTGGAAAGGTGTACATTGTTGGTAAGAGACATTGCATGTAAGTCTCTTTTCTACCTCAAGTTGTGGATTTTTTTGGTTGGTGTTTCTTTTTTTTTTTTTTCACCAGACAGAGGGTAATGTCATGAAAAGTAATACCATCAATAGTAGGAAACATAATAATCCTACCTAGTTTGTTAATAATCAAACAGTGAAAGGCTTTTCTTGCAGGCTGTAGTCTAGAATTTAGTATGTCAAGTTAATTCTCTTTCTGAAGGATTTTGAAAAATAGCTGTTAAAGATCCTGCTGTTTTATCATCAGGAAGAGACTGCAAACACTTGATAGAGAGCAAAATTTGAAAAAGCAGAAAGATATCTGTTGGGTCCCTTCCAACTCACCATATTCAATGATCTACTGAAGGAAGCTCCTCTACTTCATTGGGGCTCCTCTGCTATATGGAGAAGTGCAAGTTACAACATAAAGGCACTGTGTGAAATGATTTTAAAGACTTTTCATCTGAGGCTGTTATTTTACCTCTGTAAAGACACCAAAGCCATCGATCTTCCTCCTGCTGTCCACTCTCCTGATGGCATTGCATCTCTCCTGGCTGTGCTCACATCTGTGTGTGTCTAGCACCCATAAACTGACCAAAACTCTGAGCTTGGTTTCCAGCAAGGTGGACAAACCAGTGGATGTAAGAGTGCCAAACCTGTTTCCATCATGAGCAAAGGGTCTGCTTTCCACATCCTGGCTGTGGTGTGCAAGCCTGTACACTTGATATAAGGGAAGCCTGTGTTTGTGAAACAGGGAATCTTGCTGTAGGCCTTTTGAGTAGCTCTTTCTGTGTCACTATATGAGTTCTTTTTCAGGGTTGAATTGAGGAAAGTTTGTTGTTTGGAAGCATGTTTGCCTAGAGGCATGCAGATAAGGATTATGCAGCCTTTTTAGAGGAGAAAGACAAGCAGAACAGACAAACAAATGCAAAAAACTCATTGCGATTTTTGGAAAAGATTAATTTGCCTTCTATCTCCCTGTAGATGGAGGAGCCCTTGTAACTAAAGGTGAAGTAATTTACTTCCAACGCAGAACTTCCCAAAAATTCTGTCTATCCTGGCAGACTTCATTCCTGTTTCATACTTTCTTTTTACAGTGAGGGAGTAATAGTAAAGTGATTATATAATGACTTGAAAACCTGCTGCTGAAAATGTTTAGCTTAGGATTGTGTGGGACATGAATTGTGCAAAAAAACCCCTCCAAACAAGAAGTATGGCTTGAAAGATGTGGCTGCCTGTTGGGTGTAATTCCAAATGAGCAGCACAGGACTTTGCACTGTGTTGGGTGACAGGGTCTGCACAGGCTCTCTTCAGCAGTGACAACTCTGGCTGATGGCATGAATTCTATACTGGAGAAGTATGTCATAGAGCACCTACAGTGAGCAACTGTGACTTGTTTTCAAAACATAAAATTATATTTTTATAGGTCTGACAAGAAGCCTAACAATAACTTCAGTTGACCAGTCAATGTTTGAAAAGGCACAAGGAGAGAAAGTTACGTTGCCATGCACGTTTGAACTCTCGGCAGAAGACGAGGGACCACTAGATATTGAGTGGGTATTGATACCAGCAGATAATCAAAAGAAGGAACAAATAGTAAGTAGAGACTTCTCTTTCTACAGTGTTAATTCAGTTGTTTTAGTAGGTCAATGTGTGAGGTTTTTACTGACTCTTTAAAGTTCCACCTTTTCAGGCTGGGATGCTTGTGATCTTAAATTGCTTTGAAGCACCAGTCACATGAAATCGAGTGGAAGTTTTGAAATACTGGATTAAGGATGAAATGTTAAGACATTTTTCACTATAAACTTGCCTTCTAATGAAGAACTTCCAAATGAAATACACTTTAGTTCCAAAAAGAAAACTTTGCTTTTGTACCTGCTTTATCTTCCTTATTGAAAAAAGATTCATGAGGACTTAATTTTAAATATATTAACTCTTTCAGTTATTGATGCTTTCCTGTCTTTGAAAGCCTTATAAGTAAGATGATTCATATTAGTAGGCAGGTTTTGAAGAGTTAAATTGGAGCAATTCTAAACAGTTTTGTTTCAGTCAGAAGTCAATGCTGACATATTGGTACTTGGTCAGGTGTTTAGCTGGAGTATTCACTATAATGCTGTATGTGATGCTATTCTATAGAAAGAAGCTTGAAAATTCAAAGAGATGAAATTATTTTAAATGTTTGTGCACTAAGTAGATTTCTGAATCATATTTCTTTTTTTTTATAGATAATTATGTATGCTGTAGACAGGGTTTATAATCATTATTATGCTGGTTTGACTGGGCGAATGCAGTTTACTAACCTTGATCCCAAATCTGGTGATGGTTCACTGGATATCCTGAATTTAAAAGCATCAGACACTGGCACATATCAGTGCAAAGTGAAGAAGGCTCCTGGAGTTCAAAGCAAGAAAATACAGTTGACTGTACTTGGTAAGATAATTTATTTTCTTAAATTTTCAGTGATTATTTTTATGAGCTTATTCCACCCTATTTTCAATGTCTGAAATGAAAGCTTCTGTTGGGCAGTGTTGTACTGAATCTGTGGTGATTATGGTCATTACTGAGGGAGGGATGGGCATAATTCTGTTCTGGGAAATGAAGGGAATGATATTTAGAATTATAAGCATTTCTAGAAGTTCTGCACCTGACTCATATTTTGTAGAAAAATCTTTCTGTGCATAGAAATGGTTTGTGGCACAAACTTTATCTTTCACAGAATGAACTGGCTGCCAGAACACAACTAGGAAGTATTTTAATTGTGACTGTTATTAATTCAGTGATGTTTTATTTATTAGTAAAGCCAGCACGGACTAAGTGTTCCATTGAAGGATCACAGGAGATTGGAAAAGATGTTACCTTGAAATGTGTGTCACAAGAAGGATCCCCACTTCTGTCTTACGACTGGAGGAGAGTGTCTGGCACACAGAATCTGCCTGCCACTTCTGTGCTGAGTACTGTCAAACTTCATTTATTACTCTGAAATAATTAAAAAGATTGCAATTTTATTTTTGGCTTGTAAGCATCTCTGGGTTAGCATTACTATAGAGTTGTCAAGATTAAATGTCACTTCTGCCCTCTAACAAAACTGACTTTGAAACAAGCTGGAGTTGATTCTGGTTTTTAATTCATGCTTGGAAATGTTTCAAGCTTCAAGTTGAGATTCTTATCATTAAGAGCTGCAGTATCATGCTCACCTGTGCCCAGATGTTGTTAGTTCTCCTGCTTGCTGATGGTTTTGCTTTTGTGCTTAAGTGGATATAGACAATTCAGATGTGGCTTCAATATGATTTAAAACAAGCAAACCATCTCCAATTTTTTGTAAGCTTCTGCATTCTATTAGAGTATGTAATATCTTAAAGAACAGATCCCTAAAAATCATCTACAAAGGAAGAACCTAATACTGTTCTTCATTTTGGACCTGACTCCTGGTCTCCTATTTGATGCCTCTTATTCATTGTTTTGACAGTGAATCTGCTGATCATTAATATCCTCTGTATCACTCAAGACTTTAGGCTATTGTTGTTATGGCCCTTTTCTCCACATCCCAAATTTGTCTCGTGCTAACAAAAAGAGAAATTGACAATATCAGTGCTGGACAAGAATAAGTGCACATTGTGCATGAGTGACTTGTAACTCACAAAAGCCATGTTAGTTTTGGGCTTGTGAATGTAGTTTTGGGGACACTGAGTGTGTTCTGTAGAATCTACACCCTATCTAACTTGTTCAGCAGATAGAGCAAGTCAAATACTGTGGAATACATTTCTAATGCAGTAAGACTTTTACAAACAATAGCATTTTACACCATGAGAACTGTTTTAATCTGGGTTTTTTCATATAGCATTTTTAAGTTAAGGTTTAAGTTAAGGTTATGTTATAAGGTTATGTATATGCTGGTTTAATAATGTAGTGATATTAAATATGGAATTATATTGAGGAAAATGGTAAACTTCTCCCTTCTGTTGTTTGTAGATAAAAATACAGGGGAGCTTCTTCTGAAGAACGCCTCTCGAGAGTACTCTGGCACATACAGCTGTGTGGCCACAAACAGAGTTGGCACAGATGAATGTTCTGTTGAGCTGAATGTCACCCCTCGTAAGTGTTTGCTGTGCAAAAGTCACACGGTGTTCTTGTGGTAAAGCTGAGCAGTCTTTTTCTCTAAACTCCTAAATGGTTAAAAACCCCAATGCTCTTATGTAACTTGTGGGTGCCACTTCAAATTTTCCTGTTTTAAATGCATGTGATTGGGCACTCCCCCTCTGATTCAGTGATTCAGTATTATTGACCTGCCTCGTGTGAAACATACTGGGCTTAATGTTTAAAGAAAGGTCTCATAAGTCTGACATTTAACACACAGTGTTGTTATTTGTCTATTCTAGCCGTAAATACAGCTGGTATAATTACTGGAGCTATTATAGGAACTCTGCTGGGTCTCTCTGTACTGTGTTCTATCATCTTCTGTTTTTGTAAGAAGCACAGAGAGAAGAAATACGAGAAAGAAGTACATCATGACATCAGGTAACAATGAGTCTCTAGTTTCTGAGCAGTATTATTGGAAGATTAACTTTTAAATGTGTATTTCTGCAAATAAGTTACTTAACAGTTGAGATTTCTGTCTTAATCTGGAAAGCTTATTATAACACTAATGGCTTGTTGGAGAACTTTTTATGGTTTGTCTAATTTCAGCAAACATTTTAGAGGCAAAGAATGTTGAGGGTTTGGGGGGCTTTTGTTTCTTTAAGGGAACATATAAGGATATTTTTGACTACATTAGAATAGAAAGAAACCAAACTGAATATTTGTTTTAAAGTAATGGTGACTCTTGTTCTGCAACTGATTTTTTGTGTTTTGCTCATTTCAGAGAAGATGTTCCACCTCCAAAGAGTCGCAGCTCTACAGCTCGCAGCTACATTGGCAGCAATCGCTCCTCCCTGGGCTCAATGTCTCCCTCCAACATGGAAGGATATACCAAAACTCCATATAGCCAAGTCCCAAGTGAAGACTTTGAACGTGCTCCTACTCAAACCCCAGCCTTTGCACCTTCAAAGGTAGCTGCACCTAATTTAAGTAGAATGGGAGCTGTTCCTGTGATGATTCCAGCACAAAGCAAAGATGGGTCGATAGTATAAAATATTATTAATTTAAAAGCTGTTTTTTTAAAGTGTTCATTGTAAGTATTAGAGAAAAATACTGTGTTCCATCCCTCATTTAAACACTGGCATGAAATTTTCCTTGAAGAAAATATACAAGTGAGTTTGAAAAGCCACCAATTCTCATGTTTAATTTTAAATTTATTCGCATATGATAGTTGAACTATTTGCTAAAAACGTTGAAGTTCATAAATAAATATCGGACACTGAAGGTATTTGGACCTCTGGTAGGTTGCTGAGGAGGTTCTGACACTGTCAGCTAATGTACAGTTCTGAATGTGTAACAGTGAGACACAGGTGAGAAACAGCAAAAGCATTTCATGTGTAGACCATGAAGTTTCTCAGAGTTCCTGAGACTTTATTCTCAGTTGTGGAATAACAGAAATATTTTAACTTGGCCACTGTCTGGTATAGTTGCAGGGGGTTGAAATACCAAGGATGACTTTGAATTCTGTTCAAATTGAGTATTTATGTGGTTCTTTAACCTGGTGATGTTTGTTTGGAGTGCTGGAGCTCTTAATTGTCAGGGGCAGACAGTCATTTGATTGGTTCAATTAATTTAATTAATCTGTTCTGAATTTGAAAGAGCCATGAGTGAAAGTGTGACAGAAAACCTTGCAAGTTCTTTGAAACACAAATTTTTTTACAGTAACTAGTCCTGGTCCTGTCAGATAACTTAATACTTACATTATCTGATGCAAGAGGTCCTATCAGATTGTTGGTAGAAGTATCTAAGCTCTAAAACTTACAGACCAACAGTTAGTGTCACAGCAAGAATGAGTTAATGTATCTTTACACAGGTCTTTAAGTTAGTTGTACCTTGCATTTTCCAATGCCTGGTTAGATACTAAGGCAGTGCTCTTAGTGTTTTTTCCAAAGCAATTTCCTAGAAGCTCTATGGGGATTTGATGAAGCCTGTTTTAAGTAACTGGTATTTGATGTCTTTCCTCTTGCTCTAACCACTGTGGAAACAACTTTTCTTGTATGCCCCTAAGCAGTAGTCAGTCCTTGTTCAAGATGCTAATGCCTGGCTGTATGAATTTGCAAGGAGTTCAAAGCTCATTTTTTCTTGCCTCTTTAACAACCCTAAATATTCTGAACCAATGTTCAGACTGTGGAGAGCAAGTATTTCATGTAACAGAGAGAAAACAATTATCCAGAATTGTTGATACAAATCTCATGTTGCAAGAATCAAAATGCTTCTTCCCGATTTTGCAAACTTAAAGCAATACAGGAGAAACACAACAATTCCTTGTCTTACTTTCACATGTGTTTAAGGATTCTAATGACTGTTGTTACATACCTGCAAAAGCTCCATTTAAAACTCTGTACAGTTTGAATCTATGAATTCTTCCTTTCTTCCTGTTTTCTACCTTCTTTGTCTTGTGCTGGGGAGCAGGTGGGGCAGAGTTCTTTTAGCTGACCCTAGCTAGAGGTGTTGAACAGCAAGTATTTTGGAAAACTGTAAATTCATTACAGTATGTGCACTGATGTTGATGAAGGAAATATCTGAATAGGCTGTTGAAAGATGTTAGGATTATTTGTGTGTAGCAACAGTGAGAGAAAACAACATTAACCCAGACTTCTAGGTTTAGTATCTGCTTATCTGTAGCTGCCTATAAATCTGTGATGAATTCTTTGGCTTACTACTAAATGTTTGTCCTATCTGTAAATAGGTGCACAATTTTTGGCTGGCACTATTAATGTAAAGAAATTTCCCACTGCCCATGGCAGTGCTTGGTACAAGGTCATCTTTAAGCTCCTTACAACTCAAACAATTTCATGATTTTAACTTACCCTTCATACTGAATTTAGAAACTTGAATGGTTATTAAGTAATATAGAGTTAGTTTTACACATTTGGGACTTTTTTAGATTGTAAACTGATACTGTTAGAGATAAGATTTTTTTATCTTTCATGTGTGCCTTGTCAATAAAATTTGCCTGATTGTAACTTCAGTTTTTATTAAATTCTGGTGCCTAAACATACTGTATGAACAGGTGCTTAGATGATGGTACAGTTCTTAAAACATGACACTGTGATCTGATTTCTTAATTCTTATGTACTATTTATACCTCTTCATGCCTATTTTTGGATGTGAACTTCAGTGTCTCTCTCTGTATTGTTCTGTATTTCAAAATGTCACTTAAATCCTTCAATTGCTAATTATGATTCAAGTGTTTGTGTTCCTGTAAGCTCTTCAGTTGTTGTACCAATGAGAGAGATGATTGACTTTCGTTTATGTGGTGAATAATAGGCTTAGTAAATGTGCCAAACATAGCTTCTGAAGAACTATAGATGAGGAGACATGTTTTTGCATCCAATTATTGTGATAGAAGAGACTTCCAAGATGTTAATCATACACTGATTGTTTACCTTGAAACTAAGGCCTTTCTTAATGAAAAGGGTATAGTTACTGCAAATACAAGTTGAGTGCAAGACTAAAGGGAATCACAGACTGAGAGAGAGCTATAAACCTAAGGAACCAGGCAGCAAACCTACTAAATTTGGTTCTAAGCCGTCTGTGGACCTATGTGTTTTTTGAGGATTTTTTTTAAATTGATTTTTTGTTTGTTTTTGGTTTGGCCTGAGACCCTGTAACTTACAGTCAGGTAAGCCCTAGGACACTCAAACTCAGAAACCTGTCTCAGTAAAGCACATGGAGCAGAGTTTACACATGCTTGATGCTCTGTCAGCTTGTGCAAAACAATAAATGGGCAGAAAGACAGCCTGATGTGCCCTCAGAGCCTGGCTGTTAGGCTTAGCAGCCTTGACAGTGTCTGTCTATTTATGTAATTGCATGGAAAAATGAAAGAAATGGGATCTGACACAGTCCTTATCTGAAATATAGAACCTCTGACTTGGGGAAAACTCTGCCTCAAGTTGCTATCATCATGCCTTTTTGGGTGGATGCAACACTACTATGAAAACATAATACTGCTACTATAAATTATTTCTTTTGTCACTAGATTGTTCACTTACACTGGATTATGATTCTCAAAAGCAGCTACTGTATTTTAACAATAATTTCTAGCTGTGTGGGAGATGAACTGGTTAAACATGTGAGGTGTCTGATGTGACAGAGAGCTCTGCTGACAGAACAGTTGTAGGAAGTAATGGCAGCTGATATACCAGTTAGGAGGTGGCATTTTTAAAGTCTCATTTTGTTAAAAAAAAAAAGGGGGGGGGAAAGGGGAGGGAGGGTGGTACCATTGTGTAAATACTCCAAGTGAGCTCAAGAAACCTCTAGTTAATGTCATGACTGTAAACTTGCCTGTTGAGGACTACTATATATAGAAAGAAACCCCTCAATTTTAGCATGGTGTGAATAAAGTGTTAGACTTGTAATACTGTAGAGGTTACGTAACACTTGTCCATACATTACAAGAGTTTTCATCAACTTTCTGCAGTGGGTATTTAAAGATACTTGTGTGAAACTTCCTTCCCTAAGAACAAATACTTCTTCCAAAACTGTGTGGTGCACAGAAATGCCTTGTTGGAGGGGTAAAACATGACTTTTGAAAGAAATGTACAATGCATACGTCTTTCTCAGCTCTTGGTAGTCTCATTCATATTAGATGTATGCTTCCTGTTAAATAGTGCAAGTAAGACTTCTGAATTGCAAGTTTTTATGTAACGCTGAATATTGTATATTACTGGTTTCCATGACAAGCTTTTAGTTTTGTTCTGAGCAGTGTATATATTCTGGATCACTCTAGGTCTTTGTTCAGTCTAAAGATATTATGCTATTTGTGTCACTTAAACCTTGTTTTATACACTTGATAGGTGCTTTTTGGGGCCCTTTGTTGGATAATCCCCTAGCACTGAGGCATAGCTCAGCTGAAATCAGAGCAATAACAACTTCCTGGGATCCAAAATGTTACAATGTTACATTGCATTTCTCATGCACAAAGCATGGACTTTCAACATTGATATGACTTTCAGTATGAGGTTTTTATATTCACACTTTTGGGGGAATGGTATTTTAAAATACAGGTATTGTGAGTGAATTTGTAAAAAAAACAAAATCCAAAATTTTAAAATGCTATAATTCCATGACAGACTTGTGTACTTTTTGAAATAAAACTGTTGGAGAAAACAGTGGTCTGTCTTTATTTTAAAGCAGCACTTGTATATGTCTTCAGCTTCTTCTTTATGTAATTGGAAGTGAACTAATAAATATGGCTGTGTATACCATGCTGGCATGAATAATTTTATTTACTGCTTTTCCCCCCTGCCCCCTTCCAAGGCAAATAAAACTTTAGATATTTTAAAATATGCACTTTTAGGTGGAATTTTTAATTGTTGGTATAGTTATTCTGAAAAATAAGCCTGGAAATGAATTTAAGATTAGATTTCATCCCTCTTTATTTTAGGTAGAACCAAAAATTCCTGAAACTGAATAATCTTTGTCCTTTAAATTTCAAACAAGCTGGTTGACAGCACTCAAAGTATGTTGATAAAATGCTAGGGGGTCTTATTATTAATGTGTTAATTTGCATCTCTTTCAATTTTGACAAAGCTGACTTAGGATACTCTGCACTGCTTGGCCTTGCAAGCCAACTGATTATTGTCCTTGTCATTTTACCTGAGATTTATGTGATTTCTCCAGTGTCATCTCCAGGGTGGAGATCCAAAGTCTGGCATGGGCTCTATCTGCATTAATGGCATGCATTAAGCTCATATAATTGGAGGCATAATTAACTTTCATTTGCTCATAATATATGCATGCTATTATGTTATAATGCATGCCTATCTTGATATATTAATGTGTTATGGGCCAGGGCAGATGTTCCAGTGACTTCTTTAAATATATAAAAAGCCCAATATGTGTGCACAAGCATGTGAAGTTGAATGGAGTACTGGTGGATAAACCTCTAGGATTTTTTTTTAAATTTCAAATTAAGAGTCATGCTTAAATACCAAAAGAAACCTAATCAAAATGGAAGTTCAGATTTGTCTCTTTATAGAGTTCTAAGAAACCTTTCTTACACTCTTTTTAACATTCTTGTCAAGACTTTGAAGTGTTGAACTTAGGGTGGCAGTTTTGTCACAGATGGCTCTTGCATGCCTCAGCTGCTCCTCAGGTGTTTTATGTGGAGAACAGATGACCATGAACCAGACACTGAGTACTACCTCCAGCTGGTCTGTGGAATTCCAGCAAAACAGCTGGAACTTTCCTGAGTGTCCTGACAGAACTGAGGGCGCTCAGCACCTGGTAGCTCTACAGAACCTCTGTGGTCCTTTATATGTGTTAGACAATGCCTTGGATAAAGTGTTGTAAAAGGTCTGGCTGTTGGTTTGTTTCTCTGAATGTCTTGGCTGTGTCTTTTGAGCTTACTGCCTCTAATTTCTTTCCCTGATGTTGAGTTGTTTCAAAGCTCTGTGATAATACTGATAGGCAATTAATTGCTAGGCTCTTTTAAAAAGCAACTTAGCCTTGGTTCCTATCTGTAAAATTCATAAAGTGCAATAGTTTGTAAAGAAAAGAGCTGATTAAATAGCAGAAGTAGGAATAGGATGAAACAAAGCTATGAGTATTGCCTACCTTTCCAAATGTCAGCTTATTCTAAAACTACATATAGCTTGTGTATGACCATAGGTGATTTCTCAAGACATGAAGACTTGCATCTTAATGTAAAAATAATGTGTGTACTTGAGTTACAATGATTCTGTTGCTCTTCCTAATTTGCTGTAGGCTTTTTACAGAATGGTGCAGGCGCAGCTACCAGGAGAAGAGTATGAACCTTTAATTTTATAAAATAACCACTCTGGCAGAAAACTGGCCTGGAGGATTGTGTTGTTCCTGCTTCTGATTTCCATTTAAAGTCAAGTTTCTGGAAATAGGGAGCCTTTAAGTATCTTTGGATTTTTAGATCATTGGAAATCAAAGTCAGTGTCACCCTTGTAAGTTGCTGTTTTGAAGACTTCAGCTTTCAGCTGTCAAAGCGCTGGTCAGGTTGCCTTGGATATGCAAAATCAGTAGTATTTAATGGCAGCAGCTCCTGTTTGGGTCCTCATTTCTAGTAAAGTTTCTTTTGGTCAATGCTGTCTGGAAAAACAGATGAAGGACAATTGTACCACATTATTTGGCAAACAAAGCAGTGCAATTCATTCAGGAACCCTGCATGATGCCCAGGGTTGATGGATGGCTAGAGGGAGGGAGGGAGGGGAACAGCTTTGTAAGGAAGTTGAGCTTGTTGATTACACAACTTGATTATGTAACAGTTTTAAAAAGTGGCAATATTAGAAGAGACATTACCAAAGATAAAAT